TAAGAGCTGGTCCTCTCAGCCTTAAGTGTTGCTATCAAAACTTTAAATGGGAAGTGATTACTGTACTAACTAAATGTCAACTTCATAATTTACTTGGAAAAAAAAACGAATGCAGGGGAGCACGAAACCAAGTTTACACTATTCTATACCCATTTTTTTGTAACAAGGACAAAAACCAAAATTAGGAAAAACCCACATGCATTTGAGTAAAAGGACAATGATATATGTGTAATAGAAGAGGATAGAACTCACCATCTCTAGTGCCCCTCTAACGACTCCACTTAAGATGTTGCAATAGTATAGACCTTGACATGTGTCTGGAAGTTCAACAAAGTCTACCAGGGGATTGTCCCCCAAAACAATGCTGCAACATGTCCCATCAGAATTCCAGTTGGTAACAGAGGCACCTACCCCTAGGAACATTTTGAATCCAACCTGTATAAGAGCTCTGTTAGTCTATTAATATGTTCTATTATTTACTTGCTTATGAGAAAATTGAGATGTTATTTGGAATTGCAGCTGCATGAACATGTCATGTAAAATGATATACCAAAGAGTGACACAACTCAAAGAAAGCCAAAAAATATGAGTGCATTCCAGAACAATCCCAGCTTAAACTAAGACTGCCAAATAGCCGATGAAAACTGAAACAATCACCACTTCACCAGGCAGTGGGGAATAGTTTGAAAGCTCCTTTCCCAACCAAAGACATTGTACATGCTTTTGGAAGTGAATTCAACTACAGATATTAGATTGGATTAGTCAAGATAGGTTGGACAGATTGCCTTTTCTTCAAGGCTATGAGTAAGCACACAATAACAGTGTATCATACACGCTGGAAACAAGGTTTAATTAGTGATCAAATTCAATGTTGATCAACATTTTTGGCACAATGCTAGAGACGAGATCAACTTAACTATCTTCATCTACAGATTCAACTCTTTATCATCATTCACATTATCAACTGGCTCAATATACACAAGAAAACAGTGGAAAGATAACAGAGACAGTAGCACATTGACTGGCTGGAGAGCAATAAGCAATAGATTATTTTGGTTCACACTTCATGCATTGTAAACAAGAAGCCAAAATAACCATGTCTAACAACTCGCCTCAAAGCAATCATGAGGAAAATTTGGGCCAACTAATTTTTTGTGTGATGAATCAAATAATGTAAGCAGACCTTTGCGATTACATCAGCTGTCTCCTTGAAGTCCACACATCTGGAAACATTGGATTTTGCTAGAAACTCATCAATCAGTCGAACTCCAATATTATAACCCCTGCAACAATAATCAACTAATCATATGATCGATTCAGAGTTGGACACAGACGATCATATCACCAAGTTACATGAACAAACAAGATGTAAAGTTGCTTCTCAAATTCCAAACATTTTTCTGTTATTGTTAAATATTTAATTTTAGTAACATCGTTATTACACTAGTTCTCCACATTGAATCCATATATCTTCATACTTAAAGGTTAAAAAAACCACACACACAATAAAAATCAATACTTTAATTTTTAAATCATAATTAAGCAATCAAAATGACTACTACAGCATAATTAAAATTTGAACAGAGAGGTTACACATAACACATATATCTGATCAAGCTGTTTATTAACTTCCTCAACTTCTTCAAGATCCGTAAGCAACTGACGCACAATTGCTCCATAAGTCAACGTAAATAACTCCGCATTCTACATCAAAATTCACTAGCATAAATTACGCATCTAAAAACCACTATCATCAAAAGAATTTACTGATTTTCTAGTAAAATCGGAGGAAACTAAAATTAAATCGGACTGAATTCTAGGTTTTCACGAGTTCGTGTTTGGTTAATGAGAAAATGAAGAGAAAGTTTAGGGCATACCACGTGTTCAACACTAGCGAAGATTGCATCGCCAGATCGAGGAGCTACAGGAGCCATTGTGCTAACCGATAGGGGAAAGAGATCTGATGTGCGTGATTTTTATGGTGATGTCTTTCTTTTCTGCTTTCAGTAGGAAGAACTCATTAACTGAGCTATTTTTATTTGTTTTTTTTTTTGTCAAATTGAGAAGGGCATGGGCTGAGATTTGGAACTTTGGGTTCCTTTTTTATTGCAATTACTATTGGGCTTCAAATTGAGGCCCAAAATTTTAGCTGCTTGAATTTTATTTTTTATTTTTTATTATTTTTGTAGTGAGAAACTTAAGAATACAAATACTCTTTCCATGTCCATACTCTAAGTCATAAATATTTTTTTATTTTTTTATTATTTAATTATAGGTGAGATGAATATTCAGATATATGTTTATATTGTTTAGTTAATATCTCTATTTGATGCACCTTATAATATTTAACCAAAAATCAAGGCATGTTTATTTATTTTTGTGTTTTAAGAATACTTATAAAAAAATTTGAAATTTTATATTATTTTAAATTGATATTTTTTATTTTTTTCAAATTATTTTAATTTACTGGTGTTAAAAATAATTTTTTAAAAAAAATATTATTTAATGTATTTATGAGTGAAAAACAGTTTAAAAAGTAACTACTACCATAATTCTAAACAAACCCTACCAACATTAATCTTTTTTTTTATTTTTTTTAAATAAAATTTATTATTGTATAATAATAATCATGTCTCATTTTATATTAGTGTTTTCTTCACCTAAAACATATGATTTAAAAAAAATCCATTTTCTTACATTTCATTTTCATTTTATGTTATTTGTAATCTTCTAAGATTGATTCAACATGAGAACTTGTGCTAACTTTGTCTTTTCAACTTTTTTTTTTTCATCTTTTTATATATCAATCTCTTTATATTGGTGTTATCACCAAGTACAACATTATCTTCTTTTAAATTGATTGAAACATGAACAAGAGAAGAATAAGTTGGGGGAGTTGCATTTCTAATATTTTAGAGTTATTTTTTGAATTTTCAATTATTTGTTTAAGTTAGCTCTTCAATTTCTCCAAGCAATATTGAAATATAAAGGTTATTTTTAAAATTTCTTCACATGTGATCTTCACTTCATTGGCCTAATAGTAAATCACTTTGAAATGCATTAATTAAAAAGTTGATAAGTTAAATAAATTTAAATATATGAGTTTTATATAAACAATCTCTTATTTTCATAAATGAAACCACTCTAATTTTATTTTTGTTTTGAGCATGGTACAAACAAAACTTATTAACTGCTAGTTTAATGGTCAACTAACGATGCATTAGAGAACTTAATATATGCTCAAACATAAACTTCTTGTTTTCATTATAATTTTCATGATTTTTTTTTCCAATAAGCCTTACTTTTTCTTTTTCTTTTTCTTTTCATATTCGTGCTAGTGTTAATTCATGCCTCTACAAGGAAAATATCTTTTTCATCTCATAAGTTGCTTGTTCACTGTATCTTTTTAGTCATAAGTGAGTTTTCATATGGATCTTGATTTTCACATAGATTTTGAGATGGCGCAATAGATTGATTAGATAATAAAAGATAGAATTATATCAGAATTTCATCAAAAATTATAAGAATATTTTTACATAAGCTTAGGAATACTTTTTAGAGTATTTTAGAGTATTGATTAGATAATAAAAGATAAAATCATACTAGAACTTCATCAAAAATTATAAGAATATTTTTACTTAAGCTTAGGAATACTTTTTAGAGTAATCTAAAATTTCTTAATGAAACAGATCTAAAGATTAAAAAAAACTAAAAAAAAAAAGGAAGCATAGTTAAAGAATCTAAATTTTTTATAAGCAAATAAGAAAACCTTTAGATGAAATTATCAATTTTGCAAACTTATCTTTTTTAAAAATATATATATATAAAAGATAAAATAAAAGAGGACATGAAACGGGTTAGAGAGAGAGAGAAAATAAAAGGATTTTGGTTGAATTGAGAAAACATAAGAATTGTGTTTCTCTCCATCTCTTATATATATAAAATTGCATTTAGTGTTCCATTAATACTTAAAGAAACCTTCTTTAATTTATGTTTTATAAATGTTTAATAGAAGTTTATATGCACATTTTGAATCTTTATATGATATATATCTCGTCATATTTTACTAATTTAAGCATAAAAAGATCCCTTATACACAAGAAGAGCTATTTTATAGGAGGGTATGCATCAAGTCCAAGATCTAAATTATATTTTCAAGCCCACTCATCACTTAGGAAAAGCTCAAATCCAACCGATGTTTTTTCCTAACTTTTCAATGGTGTTTGTCTATAAAAACATAAATGAAAAGCTAATTCATTTTCAATTTTGTTCTTATTAAAATATTTTTCATGAGTAATGAAACTCTAAGATAGGAGAAAGAAATCAATATCATTACCATAAGAACTCTCATCCCTTCAAGTCTCCAACAACTCACTCACTATATGTAAGTGTTCAATAATATTGTTTTAGCCTTATATAAAAAGCTTTACACTCTTCTATTTTCTCAATACAATATCTAGCTTCATCATATGCACCATATGTATATAGATAACCTCAATTCCATAAAAGAATTAGACAAAATAACAAACAAAGCTAGTGTGACTAGATAAGGTTTCCCTCGTTTTCATAGAGCAAAATATTCACGACATCATCAATCTCCTACTAGAGTAACTAAAAGGAACACTAAAGAGCACATTCATGATCATTTCATATTTCTCGAGCTCTTAATCATACCTCTCACCACCATATTTGTTGATATATTGGCCATCAGGAAAAAAAACTATATACAACACTCACCTCCAATGAAAAGTGGTTCAAATATAAAGAACCCTAATAAGTTATGTTTATTTCATTATAATTATAAGCACAACACTAAAAAATAGCATGCCTTACAAAATGATATTGAAACATTGATTACCAAAGGACACCTACAACAATTTATAAAGAAGGAGAAGATGCAACCTTAATAAATATATATAAAAAAAAGAACAATCCTTATGAAACACAACATGAGATTAAATAATATTTATGAATTGTATCTCTATCTCTTGAACTTTTCAATAAAGCAGTGTTTCCCTAGATCTTTATAACTATTTATTTTTAAAAAAATCACAAATTCTTCGACAAGATTTTCATTATCACACATCTTTAGTAGTATACAAAACACTTATCCATCAAAATACATTCTTAAATACATACACATATCATATTACTTTCCTTTACACTTATCTTATTTTATTATTCTTTGACTGAATCTCCATGTTAACAATAAAAAACTTTTGTTAAACAAGTCATAATGAATATTTTGATTGTCTTAATCAAGGAGGTAAACATCTTAAAAAAAACATCAACAACATTTTTAATATTCATCCCTAGACCTTTAGTGGTCCTTTCTTAACTTGATAAGAAAATATATTTTTTAAATGAATGCAATTTTAAAAACTGGAATAAATAATGATACATAAACAAAAAAAAAACATAATTAAGTGCATTTAGTGCTCCATTAATGCTTGATAAAAGCTCCATCAATTAATTCTTTATTTTTTTCATGAAAGTTTATATGCATATTGCCTATAAATAGGTAATGTGTAGAGTAACAAAAGAAAAAAAAAGACATATTATAACACTTATTTTCTTCATTTACTCTTACATTTACCTCAGCGTCCTTACAATATTTTATACAACTTTTTATACACACACAATTTATCTTCTCATGCGCACATTAGTAGATGATGACACTTGTTCTCTTCATTCACTTGTCTTTTGCTCTTTTTTAGTATCGTTGTGATATTTTTACAAATTACATATCACACACACATGCAATATCTAAACAAGCTTTAAGCCTTTATATGATATATTTTTCTTTGTGTTTTACTAATTTAAGCTTCAAAGGCCCCCTATAACAAGAGGACCTATTTTGCAGGAGAGCATGATAAAGTCCACGACCAAAATTATATTTCTAAGCTTATTTGTCAGTTAAGTAAAGCCCAAATCCAAATGAGGTTTTTCCTGACCTTGTTAATGTTCTAAGATTAAGACAATTATAACACATAAAGGTGGTGAATTAAATGTTTCACTGATATTAATAAAAAATAAAATTAATTCAAATAAACACAATAAATAATAATATAATTAAAGTGCTTAAAATAGATAGATAAGAAAAAGAATTTGCAAACTCATTTTAATATGATTTGACAAGTTTACATCCGCACCTTAAATACTAAACCATACTTGAGTATTGTATTTCTTTACTAGTCCAAGTTTATAAGTACAATAACCACTTAATGAATTTACATTAAATTTTTTACATCATTTGAAGATATTTCATCTTTATGTTTTTTCAACACTTGATAAATCCACATCAAGATTTTTTTCACTTGAAAATATGCCCTTTTTAAGACTTTTTCTTGGTGAAGTTACCTCACTAATACTAACAATTTATACCTGACTCTTAGTGATTATTTTTATCACAAATAACTCTCTCCATATAATGGATAGTTCAATTAAAAGTTCTAATATCTCTTAAGATAACATTTAAATGATTTGAAAGTGTTTAAGTGTAATGCAAATAAAATTAAATAATTTTGTACTAGAACTTGAAGGTTTTATTAACACTAATTAGAGTATAATCAAGGGTTGATGAACTTAGAGTGTTTTTGCACTTAGTATATAGGTTTGAATTCTCTTTTTAATTTTACAATTAGACAAGCTATATATATATATATATTAGCAAAAAGTAGTTGTTTATAACCATTATAGCCCCATTCATGGATGAAACGTTCAACCACTTCAAATTGGTCAAGCCGATCAGTTGACTAGTTCCTATAGAATTTCTAAGTGTTTATCACAAATGAACAAACGGTTGACCGATTCATTTAATCAAGCTAAATGATCGACCAATTCATGAAAAATTTCAAATTCATTAATTTTAACCTAAATGAATTCTTAAAATCATCTATCAAGTTTTTACCAGTATGCATAGCAAATTGTGTGTATTCATTTTAATATGTTATATTAAGATGATATATATATATATATATATAAAACACTAAAATGAACACTTAGTTTTAAGTTTTCAATATGCTTTATTCTCATACCTCTTCTTGATTTCTTCATGAAATTCT